CAAACAAATCTGTGTTGGAAGCAGTACAGCCATAGTATGTTCCTTAGAAGCCAGGGTAGTGAGACTAGTCTCTCATACGTTAAAAATCTCATTCGTAACAAATCAATTGAGAGGATGGTGTAGGACCAGGCAGTGTTTCATTCTGTTGTACATATGGTCCCTATGAGTCTGAACTGACTTGATGGCACCTAACAACAACAGAATTGCTAACAGTAGAAGCAAAGATGGTGGGACTTAATTTCTCGTACTTTGGACATATCAGAAAGGGCCAGTCCCTGAAGAAAGACATTATGCTTAGTAAAGTGGAGGATTAGTGATAAAAAGGACGGTTCCCAGTGAGATGGAATGAAGAGTGGTAACAACAATGGTCTGAAACATAATGAGGTTGGAACAGGATGGGGCAGTGTTTGCTGTGTTGTGCATAGATAGGATCACTGTGAGTTAGAACATGGGGCTGTTGTGGTTAAGGGCCATTAAGTCGGTTCTGACTCATAGCGACCTTGTGTAGGATTTCTGAGGATGGTGGGTTTGAACTGCCAATCTTGTAGTTAGCAGTCCAGTGCTTATCCTACAGAGCTACACCACTACTCCTAAACATGGCTAATGGGCTTTAAAATAAGAGTGCCTGAGAATTGAACCTTATCTTTGCTGTTTGCTAGCTGAACAACTACAATTATGTTACCTCACCTTTTCTGAGCCTTTTTCTTTGTCAGTTAAATAAAGCACTGGACCACAAGGTCTGTTTGAACCACAAGGTCAGCAGTTTCAACCTACCAGCTGCTCTTTGGAAATTCTATACAGGGTCTCTATGACTCAGCACCAACTCAATAGCACTCAACAACAATACTGAGAGGCACAAAGAATTTGGACTACCAGCCAAAGGAGTCTTGGTGTGGCACTGTGGGATAAGCACTGAACCATAAGTTTGTTTGAACTGCAAGTTCTGCGATTCAAACTCAACCAGCCACTCCTTGTAAACCCTATACAGGGTCGCTATGAGTTGGAACCGACTCAATGACACTTAGCAACAGCAACTAGCCAAAAGGTTGAAGGTTGGAACTCACCCAGAGGCATCTCACAAGACAGGCCTGGTGAGCTCATTCTGAGAAGTTACAGCCTTGAAAACCCTATGGAGCGGTTCTACTCTGCACATATAGGGTCTCCAAGAGTTACCAGATTGCAAATGAGTTCTTTTCCTAAACCTGTCTGTAAGTGGCATGGGTATGTAAATTGGAATAGTGAGATTAAGTTTGTATCTAATATCAACTAGTCAAATGTTTGTGTGCCTTTCAATGCATAAAAAAATGAAAGAAACACTTTCAGATACACTGAAACACCTTGAATATAATATAGTTATATGGAGTCGGTTCTGACTCATAGCAACCCTGTTATAGGGTTTCTGAGGAAGGGCTGGTGAACTTGAATCGCACTTGTAGTTCAAACCGACTTTTCAGTACAGCTCATTAACCCACAGTGCCACACCAGGATTCCTCATTACAAAGTAACACCTGTTTGTTGTTGCAGACAAGCATACCTTAAAATTTTCACATACTAAGCTTTATAGGTTTGTTTGTAAGTATGGTCTATAAATTGTACCATAGTCAGGCATTTGTAAGCTGGTGATTGTATGTTGTTGTTGTTATGTGCTGCGGAGTTGGTTCCGACTCATATTGACCCTGTACAGGGTTTCCGAGGCTGTAAATAGAACAACTGAAAAGAGATATTTAAATACTTAAAACATATTTTTATTAAGATTTAGCAAATTCAAATTAATCATAACTACAGACCAAAGTGTGGCGCTGTGGGCTAATGCGTCAGACTTCAAGTCATTTGAACTGCAAAGTCGGTGGCTCAAGCTTACCAGCTGCTCTTTGGAAACCCTATACAGGGTCGTTATGTGTCAGAACTGACTCCACGGCACATAACAACAACAACACAGACCAAAAGGTTGTATAACTGAAAAGATTTTGTTAGTAGAAATCCATACTTTGTTTTTTGTTTTGTTTTGTTTTATGACCTAAAATTATTCCTCTTAGTACACATGTCCCTTGTGGGGACTGCTAACAGCAAGGTCAGTGGTTCAAACTCACCAGCCACTCCTTGGAAACTCTATACAGGATCATTATGAGTGAGAACTGCATCACCAGCACTTAACAACAACAATAACAGTGCACATGTCCAGCTTCTCGTCTGCTGTTTCTGTTTATTTTCCCTCTTGTGGTGTCTACTACTCTATAAAAGAGAAGGAGAAACACCATGCCTAAACCCAAACACTCAGTCTGTGGGGCATTTGTTGTAGCAGCTGGGTGGTAAAGAACAAAGAGAAGTAAACAAATCTTTTCTTAGGCTGAAAACTTACCAAGGCTTTGAAAACCCTTTTGCAACTGAGTAAAAAAACAACAACTATTTTTCTCCCCGTGCATCCAAGGAATTAAGTAGACATCAAGGCCAGAGTCTTGGTCTTACAGTTAAGCACCCTGAGATTTCAATACTTGTGAGTATGTCCAAGTTTCTTGAAACACTAGCAAATATGGAGATAATCATGACTTTGGGGAACCACATCCCACGTGGTCAGGCAGCGGAGGCATTAAGGTTAGCATCACACAGTTAGGTAACTGATGGTGTGGCCGCTGCCACCCCCAACCCCCTCGGACATCGTTTTGTACCAGATCACACAGAATCCGTAGGATTGGTTTTGTACTAATGTTTATTTGTAAATCCTAATTCCCAAACGTCACTAAATGTAATGACAATACTAGTGATATAAACAACTAGCAATATTAAAATTTTAATGTGCTACTAATTTGTAAAAGGAGCTCTGGTAGCGTAGTGGTTACGAATCGGGTTGCTAACCTCAGAGTCAGCAGTTTTGAAACTACCAGCTGCTCCGTGGGAGAAAGATGAGGCTTTCTGCTCCCGTAAAGATTTACAGTCTCGGAAACCCTGTACGGGGTCGCTATGAGTTGAAACTGACTCCACGGCACATAACAACAACAACAACAATTTCTTAAAATCATAATTCAAAGTTAAACTATGACTATTTCCTTAATATTATATATATTTGCAAGATAGTGATTTTTAAAAAGATACTTTTAAGCGACTAAAAAACCCCTGAATTTAAGATTTAAGTTATATTCTAAATATGTATCACCAAACATAAGTAGTATTTCTCCCACTCTATATTTAAGCTGCCAATTTCTTATTTAGTTATCAGTTATATAATCAATAATTGTTATGCATATAAGTTTATTATCAATTTTAATTATAAAACAATACGCAGTAAATGTAGTTATAAAGTTCTTAAAGGTAAAAATTCTGAGATTATACAACACACTTTGTTTGTAAAATCTTTCTACATTGAATTACAGTATCAGTTACAACATTACTAGTAACTGCTCTTGTTAAATTCAGTGGGATCAGTTCCAACTCATAGTTTCCAAGGCTGTATGTAAATCTTTGGGAAAGCAGAAAGTCTTATCTTTCTCAAGTACCGTGGCGGCTGGTGGGCTCGAACTACTGACCTCATGGTTTCCAGGCTAGTGCTTATCCTACAGAGTCACCATGCTCCCCATTACTAACTGAATGGAAAAGTTAGATTTTTTTTTCTCCTTTTCTCGCCTTTTATTATTATTTCATTCTCAAAAAAATTATTGATATAAGTTCAAAAATAACTATTTATCACAATATTGTAGCGAACACACCAGAAAATTTGATAAAATCAGCTACTATTAAAAACACCCAGCAGCAATGAAAACAGCAGCGTGTGCTTCTAAGTGTGCAAACGGCACCGCAAGATTAGAAGCATCATTGTAACTGGCTAATAATGACAGCTCTGACAGGCATGCATTAGAAGGTTCAAAAAAGTAAATTAGAGAAGTTTTAGCCTGTATGTGTAGTGATTGATACATATAAACTGGACTTACGAATAATGTTGTTATAACTAACGATAGGGATATGTTTATTAAAAAAAAATTCTGCTGAAACACTGCACTAAAGTTGTATAGACAATCATTTTGATGACAGTGTCTATACCCCTGCACTTCACCTAGTGACACCACTGCCGTCGGGTATGACTTGTCATCTAGGGTCACCAAACTTCCAAGTCGCTGCCGGCTTAGCAGGGACAGTGAGCTCCAGGGTGTCCGGCAAGTGCAGAATAAACGACCTGCTCTCAGCCAAGTAGAGCGCAGCAACCAGGGCACTATTAGACGACTCCCTTCCAGGTTTTAACACAAAGTATCAGTGTAGTTGGAACGGAGCAGAAAGGGTAAGTAAGATTTGCTGAGCGAGAGGTATGATGAAAAACAAAGGACAACGAGACCGAAAACGCGCCTTCGCTTAGCACCAGGATAAAAATGGGAATTATCTCCGTCTTCATCATCACCAGCAGAGCTCAATTAAACCCTGGTTCTTCCTCCTTTCACCCCATTTCCTCCTCCCATGCTTCCCCTGGCCTCAGCGACGGAGTCCCAAGAGTCCCTTTGAGGACCTTTCGTGCACTCTCCCACCCCGCTCTGTGAGAGGCCTTGGAGGGTCTACGCGCGGCCCCGCCCCGCGCGGCCCCATAGCGCCCCCCAGTGGCTCCCTTTGAGGCTCGCGGGTCCCACTCGCTCTCACCCCGCTCGCGTGGGCTCTTTGCGCTCTTCCTCTCCCCCTGTATTTAACCCTCTGCCCGACCACTGGTTTCGCGATTCGTGCTGGCATCTCCTACTCTGCCTCGCTTTCTCCTTTGCCAGTCTTCTGCCTCTGCCTCACCCTTTCCCTCCAGCGCCCCCACCTCTTGCCCAGCTCACTCCCGCTCATCTCCTGTGCCCTCCCTCCTTCCCTCCTCGGTCTCTCCCAGACTCCCTCGTCACTGAGGCTACACGCCCAGCCATCTAAGCCGGAACAGCTCTAGCCTAGGGAGCAGCAGTCCAGCGGAGAACGTAACGGCTGCAGGTTGAGTAGGTGCGGCAGGAGTTGCAGCAGCGAGCGCCACCAGCGAGGAGGTCCCGTGAACCATGGCCCGTAGAAGCGTCTTCCCGGCCGCTGCGCTCCACCTCTGGAGCATCCTCCCTTGCCTACTGGTGCTGCGGGAGGGGGCCGGGCAGCCGCGGGAGGAGAGTCTGTACCTGTGGATCGATGCTCACCAGGCGAGAGTGCTCATAGGTAAGGCGCCCGCGCCCGGCATCCAGTCCTGCGGTGCCTTCATTCTCTCCACTCGCTCTTCTGTTAAAGGAGGAATGCAGGATATGTTTTCAAAACTTAATTTCAAAGAAGATTCTTTCCCTCCCTAAAATTCCCCTCCGTCCCCCCCACCCCCACCCCCCGAATTTGAAAGTTTATAAATTTCTCTCTCTAGAAACCAAAGTTATGTTTTCAAAACTTAATTTCAAAGAAGATTCTTTCCCTCCCTAAAATTCCCCTCCCCCCCCCCCACCCCCCCCCCCCGAATTTGAAAGTTTATAAATTTCTCTCTCTAGAAACCAAAGTTAAACTAGCGTTCTGGCTATGTTATTTGTACAAACTACGTTTTTAGGTGACTCCAGCATTTGTTTGCATCCGTTAACTTATCACGTGCGGAGGAAGATGAAACCTCAGTGTCATGGTGGGTGCCAAGGGCAGGTGTTTTCTGCAAAGAAATGGTCCATGCTGATTCTTCGGTTTTCTTTTTGCAACTTCTGGTTTGGATTCTCTCAAGTCCACCAGTTTCATAGTTTTGTTTGTTTCTTAAAAACAGGATTTGAAGAGGATATCCTGATTGTTTCAGAGGGGAAAATGGCCCCCTTTACACACGATTTCAGAAAAGCACAACAGAGAATGCCAGCTATTCCTGTGAATATCCATTCCATGAATTTTACATGGCAAGCTGCAGGCCAGGTAAGTGCTGATAGTTTAAAAAAAAAGGTCTAGAAAATTACCCTTTGATATTTCCACTGCTTGATGATAAATGGACATGATATTGTATAATATTAGTCTGATACATCCTAAAGAGTACTTTTTCATCTGCTCCTCAAAGCAAATAATGAATGGATTTCCATTTATTTAGAGTTCTCATATAAGTTCAAGATCTCAAATGAAAAAGAAAAACATTGTGTCCAAACTCACTATTTTGATAAGATTCAATGTCTTCAGGCTGCTGGAATTACAAAGAACTCAAAGACCAACATTTCTGGTTACTGTGATCCCTAACATTGAAATTTAACAATATTTAAAAGATTTTCCCCCATATTACATGATGACCACTTGTGACATTATTTTTACTTTACAACAAATTTTATAAAGTATTAAGTATTTTTGACATTGTACAAAAAATTGGCATGCTAAGTGTTTTTCACTAGAACATGATCACTATATATTTCTGGTAGAAGTTCACAGACTCAAAAGAGTGTTATCTGAGAAAGTTTGTAAAATATTTCAGGCTATGAATTTTTTTTTTGAAACTACCAGTTTAAATGTTTTCATATGGGAAAAAGGAAACTACAATTCAATTTTATGAAGAAACAATCCTTTTGTCCTTAGCACATTAACATCTTTTGTATGCTACGTTTTGTATTTTTTCAGTATAACATAACCTCTAATTTTGGAAAGAGAGAGAGAATAAATGCTTATGTGAGTTTAATTTCTTTTGTGCAATTGGAAAATTTATTCTAGAGGACAACTGGTAAGTAATGAAATATTTTGTTCATTAGTTGGTAAAATGTGTCTACTATGAATATCATTGTAATTAAAATCACATTTTGGGGACTTTCAATTCAAAAATCACTTAAATGGTTATATTCATGGAAAACTCGATCTAGAACACACTTATAAAAAGTAGCTATTTTGAACTGAGAAACCACTTTGGTACCCTCTAATTGGAGTTCTGGAGTCCTGGTATGACCCTGTGGGTTAATGCGCCAGACTGCAAAGCTGGTTGGACTGCACGGTTGGCGGTTCAAGCTCACTAGAAGCTCCTTGGAAACCTTATACAGGGTCACTATGGGTCAGAACTGACTCGATGGCACGTTAACAACAACAATTGGAGTTCTGGTGTGGCACTGCGGGTTAATGCGCTGGACTGCAAGGTCAGTTTAAACCCTATGGTCGGTGATTCAAGCTCACCAGCTACTCCTCCGAAACCCTGAGTCAGAAGCGACTCAGTGGCACTTAATCACCACCACAGTTACTTGTTGTAGTCCTGGTGTGGTACCGTAGGATAAGCACTCAACCACAAGGTCAGTTAGAACTGCAAGATCAGTGGTTCAAACTCACCAGATACTCCTTGGAAATCCTATCTAGGATTGCTATGGGTTGAAACCTATTGGATGGCATTTAGCAACAACAATTACCTGTTATAAGCACTGTACTGTGAATTACAAGATTGGAAGTTCAAACCCACCAGCTGCTTCTCAGAAACCCTATATAGGGTCACTACAAGTTGGAACCAACTCCATGAACCAACTCCAAGGCACTTAATAACAATAATTACCTGTTACAGAATGGGGCTAGCTATAGCTCTGTCTGATTTTCCTCAGGTCTGTATCCTTTTTTTCCTCTTCTGAAGTAGATCATATACAGACTTTTCGTATTTCCATTGTTTTGTCATAAAAAAATAAACATTTTCAATGGACTAACTTCATGCCATTAAGGTCATCTATACTTCCATTTTGCAGACAAGTTAACTGAGATTTCTGTTGCTCTATAGGGGCACTGTGGGCTAATGCACTGGACTACAAGGTTGGTTTTAACTGCAAGGTCAATGGTTCAAGCTCACCAGCCACTCCTTGGAAACCCTATACAGGGTCACTATGAGTCAGAACTGACTCAACAGCTCTTAACAACAATAACAATAGTGTAATTATTAATTTTCTTCCTAATACCCTCTTTGTAGATAGTGTTATTAAATTGGAATATAGTGAAATCAGTAATAAAATAATGAGTGGCCTTTAATGAGCTCCTTTTATTCTCACCTGCATCTATTTACTTGTAGGTGACCGCATGTCAGAATGATCTCAACCTTAATTGTGTATTTTTAAGAAGAGCATTTTGAACCATACTTTTATGGTTCCATAAGTACCATTAGAGGGAGTCTGAATTGCACCCCTCCCCCACTTGAAAAAATATGATTATAGGAGAAGCAGAAACTGTCTGCAGGTTTAGTAACTTTTGCTATATGAGTTTTTCTTCTGAAGAATAGAATTAGAAGAAAAAGCTTAAATTCCACATTTCTCCCCAGTTGTGTGGTACATGTTTGCAAACGATGGCATATTGCTGAGTGGAACATGAGCTGACATATCAAACAATCTCAGGACTATTTCTTTACGGGTGTTAGAAAAGATTGTCTAACTGGCATGGAGCTGGGGCCTCTAGCATCGTTCTTTTCCTCTCCAGCTTGCTGCTGCCGCTGCTATGTTGCCATGAAGTTGGTTCCAACTCATAGCAGCTCAGCATAGGATTTCTGAGGCTTCAAATCTTTAGGGGAGCATCAAGTCGTCCTTTTCTCCCACAGAGCAGCTGGTGGATTCGAACTGATGATCTTGCAGTTAGCAGCTCAACACATAACCCACTACACCACCAGGGCTCCTTTTTATCTCCTGCTTAGGTATTGGTTGTCCATGTGGACTGTCTTCTCATGCGGGCAACTTTAGCATCTCAATTAAGTTACCTTCTTTTTCTGCTCTGTCTGCTCTGGAGAGGTTTTCTGCTTTGGAGAGGTACATGCAATTTGATGTCTGTTTTTGGTAGAAGGGGGCAAGAAGGGTCTTTACTATCCCAAACAGCAAGACGTTTTAAAACATTGTTTAAATGTGATTGATTTCACTCAATAGCATTTGTGATTATAACAGCATCATAATATTTTAAATGCATGGAAATTTTGAAGCTGGGAAAAAATAATGACTTCAGTTCACCAATTAAGTATTTTGGAAGGCATTCTGGCTAAAGCTAAACCACATCAAAACACTTACATGGAAAATGAAAATCTCATGCCACAACCTAATTATTTCATCCAAATAATATCAAACATGTAGGTGTTTTGTGTGGCACTGTGGATCAGCGCTGGACTGCAAAACTCAAGGCTGGCAGTTCAAATCTACCAGCTGCTCCTTGACGGCACTTAATGACAGCAGCAACAGCAAGCCCAACTTACAGCTAGTTAATGAAATGGTAAACTAAGTTTGGGCAATAGGTAGAACTTCAGGACTGAAGGTGCTATCTTACTTCCCATAAATTATTAGTCTATTAATCCAAAGTGGTGTTGAGCATATTTTAAATACATTTCATGTTCTACTTCATACAAATGCAAGTAAAAGTCAGAGTGGTACTAACTCTTCCACATCAGCCTTGCCAGTTTTTTTTAAAAGTGCTTTTAGAATGCTGAGATATGTGTGTGATTACATATTGCTGGTATAATAGTATCCTTTTTGCAGGGCAATTCGATTAGGATGGCAAAAGACTTGATAAAGATCCTTTGACTGGAAATTTTTTTCTTCCAGAGATTCATCCTAAGGGAATAATTGTGGATATGTATGAAACATTTTGTTCAAGAATGTTCCTCGTCATTGTGTTTATAAAAGTAAAAAATGGATACAACCTAGAGGTCATGTCTCTCATACTTTGGACATATTGTCAGGAGGGACCAATTGCTGGAGAAGGATATCATGTTCATGTTTGGTACGGTGGAGGGTCAGAGAAAAAGAGGAAGCCCCCCAATGAGATGGATTGGCCAAGTGGCAGCATCGATGGACTCAAGTGAGGTTGGCCCAGGATCGGGCAGTGTTTCATTCTGCTGTGCATAAGGTCGCTATGAGTCGGTACTGACTCAATGGCACTTAACAACAACAAGAGGTCATGTGACAGTGACTTACATAGAAGAGTGCAAGAGCATTAATAAAGATATTGTTGATACCTATTTTATATCATGGAAAGATGTTCATTAATCAAGTAGGTAGAATAGTCTGTAGCCATATATTGTATTTGATTCCATTACAAAATAGGCAGACAACAAAGGTGTCATATCCATCAATGGGTTACCTTGTTTGTTGTTGTTAAATGCTGTTGAGTCGATTCCGACCCATAATGACCCTGTCTAGGGTTTCTGAAGAGCAGCATATATTACTTTCTGATATGCAATTTTTAGAATTATAGGTTACTTGTCATTTGACATGTTACTTTTCATTAAATGTGTGTGAAAAGTTGTACTTTCAGGTTTCAAAGTACATAATGTTCTGGTGGTGAAGTGGGTTAAGCATTGGGTTGCTAATTACAAGGTCAGCAGTTTGAATCCACTAGCTGGTCTGCGGGAGAAGGATGAGGTGTTCAGCCTTGGAGTCGGAGTTGACTAGACAACATACAAACACCACCAGCAGCAGCAGCAACATTTTTATGTTATATAATCACTCAACAAGGGAGTACAGTGACTGCACGATGAAGACTGAACTGTAAACCACAGGGTCAGCGGTTCAAGCCCATGCACGAGCTACTCCATGGGAGAAAAATGAGACTTTCTGTTCTCTTACAGATGTATAGTTTCGGAAACCCTAAAAAGGATTGCTAGGATTTAAAAAGACAGCACTTAATAACAACAATCACTCAGAATAGAAAAAAAAAAAATAGAAAACAAATACAGCGAAACAAATTATCGTAGCTCTCTGCTGGAAAAAGATGAGGTTTTCTGTTCCCGCAAAGATTTAAAACCTTGGAAACCCTAACAGAATTGCTATGAGTTGGAACTGGCTCAATGGCATTTAATAACAGCAACATGATACCCAAAGGATTTAGTAGTGCTTATATAATTCTCTTATTCTTATTTGCTAATTTCATTTAAAGTTCGTAAGAACCCACTTTAAAAGGCTTTCCTGCCAGAAATCACTTTACCTGGTCCCCTGCCTCCTCCTGCA